TCCGCATAAAATGACTGAATGGTAACCGATATACTCTAAAAAATTGCCACATTTTTCACTCGAAAAATGGCCCATATTAAGAACTAACGGGTGATGCAAAAGTTCCCGGAAAAATGTCGCTTCATTTTTTATCGGCCACACCATAACATGTTTTGGAAAAATAAAAAATACCTATCCAAAATCTACGTTGAAAGCGCTATCTAACTGTATGTTCAAAAAATTTCTAGAATGTCTTGCCTTTCAGTAACGACCACATCCTTAGATGACACTAAAACGTACTATAGCTGTAAAAAGGAACTCACAATGACTGCGGCAGAAGAAACCAATCTTAAAGCAATGTCATAGTATTTTCTACCAGGTTCGTAGAGAATTAAACGACGAATATAATGGAAGAAAGAGCAACAATATATGACGGAACGCATATAAGATATTCGAAAAATACTGAAATATCGGTTTCTTCTACCGGAATCATTGTGGGTTGCTTTTTACAGAGTACATTTTAGTGTCATTTAAGGACGTGGCCGTTACTCAAAGGTAAGGCATCATAGAAATCTTTTGAACATACAATTAGAAAATGCTTTCAACGTTGATTCTGAATAGGTATTTTTTACTTTTACAAAACATGTTGTAGCCGATGAAAAATGAAGCGAAATTTTTCCGAGAACTTTTGCATCACCCGTTATTTCGCAAAGAATTCTGCATTATCCCATGCAAATAAAATATGTAAATAGGTAATTTTGTTCAGTGTTCAATGCTCTATCTTTTGGTATCTTACACACAAATTTCGTTAATTTTTTCTATCTAAAAAAAACTTAACTTTGTACAAACAATTTTTACAAAATTTTTCAAATATCTTTGCGAGTGCTCGAAAGTCGAATCGGGCTAATTTTTCACCAGCTCAAACTACAGTATAACCTCTCTATAGTGGACACCCAAGGGACCTTGTCAAAGTGTCCACTATACGGAGGTGTCCACTTTCGGAAGGTTTTCAATATTTTGTTTTGAAATAATTGCTATAGTGACTAAAGTCTATCTCATCCACTTGCTTGAGGTCATTTTGCATTGAAATGTGTTGAGGGTAACTTCTCTCGTCAGTTGCTGAAAAATTCCAATATCAACGGTTTTTTTTGAAAGAGTCAGTGATAAAATTCCTTTTGCACACATTCCAGTCAAGATAGACGGCAGTCATCTCCGGCTAGATTTTCTGAAGAGAAATCGTATTTTTTTGTCATTTCATGAGTAGATAAATGAACATTTATTGAATTCTTTTTTTCTGTTTTCTGGTCGGTCTTCACGCGATTGCTATTCTATTGGAGGGTGCATCGCACATTAGTGTTGGATGTACCAACTAGGAGCGACCATTTACTGTTTCTCTGAAAAGCAAATGTCTCTTGCTTTTTTCAAAACATTTATGTAAATTGTTTTGAACTATCAATTTCTGAACGCAATGTTGTCACCTTTCCGTTGGTATAGAAAGTATAGAGATGGAAGTCGTTTGCGAATAAAAAGGAGACACAGTTACTTTCCAGGGTACCTTAAATTGCTATCCATAGCACCAACACATATCAGACTTCTACTTGTCTTTTATTTAAACTCCGCAGTCATCACTCACACACGCCTTTTCTGTGCCTAATTAATTTCTTCTCGCCATTGTCTCGCTCAGTAGCTCATCTAAAATTAGTTTATGTAGTGCACAATTACCAAGCACAACTGCATTCAAGGAAAGAATGTATGTCCCAAAACTGGAACAGAAAAATGTTGACTTTTGACATACAAAATGGATTTTGTGGTGCGTGAACTTTTCGCAGATGTTTGGGTTCGAGACTTTTTCGAATTTTGAGACAATATCGAAAAAATGCCGTGAAATTAGGAAACTGTCCACATTCAAGAGGTTCTCTACTGTGGACAGGACCGGGATAAAGTGTCCACAGTCCAGAATAGAGAGGTATCCATATTAGAGAGGTTCATTTGCAGCAAAAACAGCTCGGGGGGACCGGCCAGTGTCCGCAATAGGGAGGTGTTCACTTTAGAGAGGTGTCCACATAGAGAGGTTTTACTGTATATATACTAAAAATTTTGGTCTAGAAGTTTTAGATGATGCTGAACAAGATGAGAATATGAAATCGAAAACTAAATTTTGACGAGTGCTTCGATATCAGACATGATCCTCGATGGTCTCCTGGACCCTCTCTTAAAATACTGTGAATTCTTTATGTATTTTCCTCGATTGAATAGCTAATCTGTGTCTGCTCAGAATTCAACATGAGAAAGTCCATCAATTTATGAATCTATCAAAGCTTTGAAAGCGAAACAGTATGCGAACTCGATAGTGACTAAACAATTACATGCTACACTGATGAAACAAAACAAACATGGAAATATGACCTTTTGGATGAGCAATTACAAAAAAACAGTTTCTGGTTTTCATTTGATAACAAGAGCCTTGTACTTCAAATTGACAAGAGCTCTGTTCAAGTTTTTGATGCGGATGTAAATTTATTCAAATAAAATTATTTCCTTGTTTTCTTTAATCTCTTGGTTATGTGAGACTCAAGTGCCGGCACCTCTACTGGCAAGAGCTCAACTATTGGGAGGCTTTTTTTTATCAGGGGGCTCATCTGTCATGTCACTAATATATTCGTTTTACAAAAACCTAGTAAAATTGTCAACTGTATAATTCGGAGAAAATATTAAATAATTGTATTATACTTAAGCTGCATTTTATTGTTGTTCACAAATAAGAAGTTGTCAACGCGGGTTGCTTTCTTTTCGCACTTGTTCTGCAGAAAGCCGATGTGTTTGCGCATGATGCATTCGTATGATTGCTTTTATTTGCGCTGAAAAAATAAGAGAATCAATTAACGAATGGTGCAGTCTGGCTACTGTCAGCAGTTGGCTTTTTCCAACTTGCAAAAAAGAACGTCACAGTCAATACTCAGATGAAGCAGTGTACAGTAAGCATGCACTGACAACGATGTAATCGTACTTCTGTTGCCATAATAAAAAGGGTGTGGTGTGGATGTAGGTGAGTGTGGGTTCGGACGTGTGGCTGTAGCTCTGGGCATGGTGTACGAGTATGGGTAAGGTTGGCTGGGTGTAGGCATAGGTGCGGATTATGCGTGTGGGACTGAGTTTTAGCGTTCTCTTTCCCCATTCAACATCCACACACACTGGTACCCACATCCCACACTAACACTAGTGCTGACCTCTGCACGCACAGCCATGAGCTCAAAATTCCGTTAAGGTGTATAAAATTATTTCGTTGCGTATATATTTTCTACCCATTGGTGAACAAATTTATTTCATCAGCTACAACATATTCAACCATGAGTATTAGCAAGAAATGGTTGTTCTAGGAGTGGAAAATAATAATTCGGTTTACAACAATACAACTGTAATGAAACTATACTATGCATTCATCAATAGTTCAGAAACGAACCAGGATAAATTGTAGCCAAGTTAACAAAAGCAGAGGAATACTTTTACGACCACATATGCCATTTCGCAGCATTGTACGATCGCCAGTCAAACCATGTGAGGATTGGGTGTGCTTCAAAGAAATAACGACAATAAGGCTCGTATAACTTATTATTATGCGCATGAGATTCGAACGATTCGTCACACAGAATTGTGAGAAGTCTCATTTTTAAACCAAAGGTGACTGTATATTTATGTCTAAGCTATAAATATGTATTTCGTTTTGTTTTATGAACTGTGAAAATGCTGCTATGAAATCGAAAATTCTTAGATAGTAATGCTGACGCAAAACTGATATGAATTTCTCCTCAGCTCCATCAAAATTCGACGAATCGATCAAAGCAAAAGAAGCTTATTAAATAAAATTTTTGTATCAAAATTAACATTCTTGAAGTATTGGGTGTAAAGATTATTGATCGTTACACTTCAGTTCATGTACACTATCCACTTGGGGATGTTGGTGTGGATCTTCTACATTTATCGACGCTCACACCAAAACCCATACTACGATCATCCTCACAAACACTCCACATACGCACATCCACATCCATATCTACATTCAGAATACTTTCGAAGATGTTCTAAGAGATGTTGTCCTATCATTGTCAAAAACCTTTTTTTTTCGCTAAAGAATGCTATCTCACATCCTTGAAATGTGTTTCAAAAGAACATTAAAAGTGTCTTCAGGACCTTTTCCAAAAAAGAAAGTCGGTGGGAGCCGGGTCGGGTATGGGTATAGATTGTGGGTGTGAGTGTGGAGTATGGGGATGGGGTATGGGGCGTGGTTTTGGGGTGTGGGTGTGAATGGATGTGGAGTGGGTATGGATGTGGGTGTGGGTGTGGGTGTGGGTGTGGGTGTGGGTGTGGGTGTGGGGTTTGAGTCTTCTTTTCACAAACAACTACACCCACACCCACACTCTGACTATACCCTTATCCACATACTTTTCTCTTCGTATTCCTACACCTATACCCTTATATCTATATCTTCATGCCTATGACCATATTGCAATATATTGATCTGTAAAAATATTCCCCATGCTTTTGCCCTTATTCTCATACCTACATCCTTGTAATTGTACCTGCATATCTATACTCTTATCCCTATACCTATGCCCTTTTCAAGCCTGTGACAGCTCACGGTTCTACGAGCCGGTTCTTCGTTGTAAAATATTTTTGCTTTATAAAGGCAAGACCTGTTTTCATCGGACATCTTGTGAGTTGTACTTGATCAATTTGATTGGTTCTGATCGAAATGTACTATAGCCGAGCAGCATATTGCGCGAATATGATAGATGACTACATCGCGAAGTATCATGGCATGTAGTTGATTCTGGCTGATATCAGTTCATATTCATTGTTCAAGGCGATTTAGGAATCTTTCTTCTTTATCCTGTAAATTACAATTTAATGATGGATCGAAATCGATATTAAGTGAAGAATGAACATTTAAATATTAATGCATGTTCACTAACTCATGTGTTATGTAGCTTAATAACACTGTTGCAAATTTGCTTTGAACATGCTCAATTCTCGACATTTGTTTTTATTTTAGGAAATAGCTGCACTACTGAAAAATGTCGACGTGACTCAATGATTGTGTTAGGTGTGATAGATGGTAGTTTTGAACTTATTTGCCAATGTTGTATCGCCTGCAGTACTTCACGTTTTGATGATCTTGCTGACCTTTGTTTTCGATCAACACCTGTAAATACTATCGAAAAGTGCCACACTGATCAAAGTCAGCTAATATTGCGCTGAAAAAATATTACATATGGAATATCCTTCTGTTTTGCATACTGAACTGTCTTCAATTGTACAGAACTGGCGATCCACATGAAAATCTTGGGCATCAAGCTAAAATTGATTTGAAATGGAATGATCAGACACAGCAATTCGATGGCCAATGGGTTGTCAGAATATCTAACTATTTTGGTCAAGATAAATTCGAATTGAAATTAAGACAACATGTAGAGTTAGTGTAATGTGATATTTCAATCATTTCAAGGGTGTGAGTGTGGGTTTGACAAGACGGATCATATTCTGTTTATTGCGTACAACTTTTTGTAGTGTTACTCTTGCTGTTTCTAGGAAGAAAAGAAAATTTTTAACTTGTAACATAATTGAGTTGTGAAGTTCGACGTTTTTTTTCATATCTTTTGCATCACATACTATCTACAATGCTAAAATGGTAGTTTATTTCAGAGTGAGGAGAAGAGAAATAGCAATGCTGTAGTATGATTGCATTATTCATCTAACATTATCAAAACCAGTCAACAACCATGAAAAGCAATTAGAAGTCATGAGATTCCCTGTGTCACTGCATCACATTCTATACCGAACATCCAACAGTAAAAAACTCAGCTACTCTAGAAAATGATTGTATACAAGTGACGAAATAGTGTTCAGTCATTAACAATTCTCATACAAGCGCAAGGAAGGTTTTTTAATCTTAAATATGAGTTTTTATTTCAACGTTTTCAATAAACACTTTTTTCCTACATAGACTAACGCACGTTCTTTCTTTTCTGTGTAGCAACAGCAGTAATAATGATAGTTGATAATAATTCAACTATGATTAAATTTGAATCATGGTTCATTCCTATAGATATTCTAATGATTGTATCTACCATGATTGCAACTTTACTTGCTTTTACCTTTTTGGCTATTATCATTATGAGTCGAACATGTCGAACAGTACCATTGATGCTTGTTGGGAACTCCTGTTTAGCTGCTATTATCTTTGAATGTACTATGCTAAGTATGGCTTTATTTACACTTCAAAATGATATAAAGCAAAATGTGTTTCAAGATTTACTTTGTATTTTTCGCGGCTACATGGGTTATGTTACATGTTTTTTACAGAATTATTCGTATGCATTACAAGCTATTTATCGATATATTAGTGTTGTCTATCCAGCTCGTGTATCCTGGCAATCAGCACGTTTTCAAGCTTCTCTTATTGGTATTAAATGGATCTTTTCAATAGTATACCCACTTCCATTGTTGTTGACTGGTGAAATAATCTACAATGTTGACAATCAAATATGTCAAGTACAATTACGACTTTCTCCAATAATGATTTATACTACATTATGTATTTATATGATACCTATCACAATTATTATGCTTGTCTACTTTAAACTATTTCGATATGTACATGAAATGAGTAAACATGTCACACCAACAAACACTTTATTTCATGCACGACGAGAATTAGAAATGGTTCGTCGTATTGTCTTTCTTGTTATTATTCTTATCATACTTGGTCTACCCTATATGATATTTATTTTAATGTCGTTTGTAACTATTCCACCAAAATATCATTTTCGTATTGCTTACTTATTTGTTGATATATCATCGGTATTTGTTATGATTGCTCTATTCCAATTTACGGAACCAATTAAAACAATATTATTAAAGATGATAAGTGTACTGTCAAGTACAGTGAATCCAACAAATAATTAATTGAATAAATGAAATAAAATTAAAATTCATTATATTGTGTATATTTAGAATAATGAAAATATGTCAAATGTTGACGATATTATTAATTGAAAATGATAGGTTGAAAATGACTTCAAAAAAATACTGTCTGCTGCTGACATGGCATTATTGTCGGATTCTACTGGCTCAGTCATGAGCAGTCTCAACTCTAACATGGAGCGAAACAGAATAGAGTTAACAAAATTTTTACTTCAGCAAATATTGAGACCCATGGTCATAATCATTCATATACGATTAATTCATTCAACATGTTTGATGAAAGCTTTTTTTTTTCGAATAATCATCGATTTAAAAACTTATCAACTTGTTTACAGTACTCGATGAAATAAACATTGAACAGATTTATTAATCAATTGTTTGTGCAAATCAAATTTACATACTATGTCATTTAATAAAACTATCGGTTACTTGTCGACCATTACAACGTGAACTATACATCTAGTGACACGAATTCAGTGAAATTACATCATTTATCGAATTAAGATGTGATACAATCTCGAATATATTAAATTCTTGGACGCTTTCATCTTTTTTTCTATAAACTATGTGTTCCGATGTGAAAAATACATATTGTTTCATAAAAAGAAGTCGAATAAAACTATCTAGTGTCACCTCATAGAGAGCAGTGTACCTTTTTTTATAAGCGTGGTATTCTTCTGGACATAGATAAATTGTAATTCATAGCTATTCTTCTGTTGCCACTTCAATAATACTTACTTATCTTGAGCAGATGAGTGACCAATATTAGTTTTGGGCTGTACTGCGCAAAATGTAAGATTCAAGTGTTTGCACGATGATTAATCACCAAGTCAAACATTTCATGTGCTCGAATCTGTTTGCAATCAGACAGTAATTAATGAATAAAATCATCTTTTTCTAATCGAAACTATCGAAGAAAATAGGCTATTATGACGCCGTCAAATGACTTCTACGTAGCTCCATTTTTAAATACAATACTGAACTTGATGAACCACCTATACCTATCAAATTATCAAACAACTCAATTATAAATAGAAGACGAGATTTTATACCACAAGATATTCTATGGAACAATCTGAAGTGGGCAAGATTGGTTCATATAGAATGTTTCAATACGCAGTTGTATTCACACGTACGTAGTTGCTTGACTTTTTCTAATCGTCTTCTTACGTTCCTTCTATTTTAAAATTGTCGCTTCTATATCTCTCGCCTTTTTCCTAATTCGGTATATCGTCACTCTTATGTTTTGTTCATTTGCGTTCATTCTCTTGAGTGGGTGCGGGTACGAGTTAATGAACACTTGACATCCACCCCCATACTGATGAATGACATCATAGTGTTGGTGTATTTAGGTGGATGTAGGCGCTGGCGAATGTCTTATCTTTATCGGCACCTACTGTATGTTAAAAATCAACCTCTTGACTGTTCGCATCATGTGAATAACTTTATTAAAATATCTTGATTAAACGCAACAAAATGCAAAAATAAAAAAATACACAATAGCAATAAGGTTCGAGATTAAAAGATAAATATCAGAAGTATTGTAAATTGGAAGTCTACTTGTTGTTGAGTTTTTCGTATGATTTTGTCTCTTGGGTCGTTTGTTGCTGAATTGTAGACAAGGCTGAATCTAAATGCAAGATAACAACGTCGAAATACATTCATGAATTAATAGAATAAACTTTAGAGATCAGCACTCCCTACTACGGATTTTTATATTACACTCGATACCATTTCAAATGAAGCTGCTGAATCAGAAACATGAGCTCCATCATGATACAACACAAAAGAATAGAAGGACAACATTCACAACTACTTTCGCTTCTAATATATAACATGCTTCGTTGTTTTTTGAATAAGTGAAAACTAGAACTATGTAACTAGCAATTAACAATGTACAGCAGCTAATAGAAAACTTCTTAGAAAATATATCTATTTTAGCAATGTGCAAATTAATAGCGATTAGTGTTATTTCAATTAATTGTGAACAGTTTGAAAGTGATGTATTTATTGCCTTTCAAATTCCATTCTAAGTTTGGACGTAACTAGTCATTGTCACTTTGTTGCCTTCAGAAAATAAACAATACTGCATAAGAAGCCAATTTCGAGATGAGCTAGGATATTCATGAATCGAAAGAAGACTATTTTCATTAAGGAATATGTTCATAATTAAACTAACCATCATTGACCGTAGATTATTGCATGGTTTCTAACACATAAGTATCATTTTTCGTGAATTTTCTTAAAATTTGTCTGCTTTTCACATTCAGGCACATATCAATTGATAGAGGTTGACTTGCTCTACAAAACTCTGTCTATGCAATGCATCCTTAATCGGAGAATGTGAGTATATAGATGTTAGCAGTTATGGGTGCTATTCTTCTCAATTGCGATTGCCATAGATTGATTCGCTCTAACCAACAAGACATTTATCTTTAGCCATATTTTTCAATATGTCAAAATCTTTGATTTTTTTCATGGTGTCTCGTCAACTGCGATCGTGGTTGTATGAGAGGTTAGAGCTTCCATGAAGAAAACAATATTAAAAAAACTATGGATCAAAGAAGAAACATTCATATCCTAGATAAAATAGTACTATATTGCGTTCATTGAATTTCAGCTGAAAAATTAACTGAAATCTCAGGATAAGTACAGTGTTGAGGCAGAAACTCTTAATATAATAGATGTAGACAATAACACAATCACTATGAAACGGTGGAAGCGATATGGGGAAGACTTCTATTGAAACCTGCTAGTCTTCGAAAAAATTGTTTTATGAAGTGAATAGAGAGTGGTGATCTTTATCATAAATAGCTTTCAGCAGAAGGTATGTAGGATTAAAATTTGAGAAGTAATAAAAAAAAGTTTTTGGTACGATAGGATTTCCCAAGATCCCTTGGACGTACCAGCACATACCTGATTACTTAGTTTTCGGCACAGGTAGAATCTCTCCGTGCGAAAATTTGATTTTATGTTCGAGTGTTTTAATGCGACAGTTTTTCTGGTATCGACATGGATACAAGTAGTCGGGCAAATTTGTATGTCTAAAACTGCAACGATGCAATGGATCGGCTAAGTCTTTACAGTTCTGATCATAATTGCATCTCGTTATTGACAGTGGTGCATGAGTATATTGATATGAATGGATTTCTTCATGTCTATTTCTGCATATTTCAGAGAATCGACAAGGATGAGAATACGATTGGCAATGGGATACTTGATTTGCTCCGTACTGCTCCTTGCAGTTAACTGAATCCCGACATGGGGTAAGGCGAGGTGGTTCACGAGGTCGCAGTCTCGATGCCTCACGCGATTGTGATCCTAGTCGTTGTGGCTTGTATGGTTCTGGTTGTGATCGTGATGGTGATCGTGACCGTGATCGTGATCGAGATAGAGCTCGAAATCGTGGCGATTCATGCGGCCGCTGTTGTGGCGGTTCCTGTGGTCTTGATTGTGGTATGTCGTATGATTGTGATCGTGATGAACGTGGTCCTTGAGGAGATCGATAAGGCAACCCAGTTGTTGGCTTAGACTGATCATTTTCGTTTTCGTTCTGTAATCCGAAAATGCCTTTGAAGAAGTTGATAGCTTTACGAGGGAAGCTTGGAGACTCAGGCGACTTCGGTCTATTGCTTTGATGAGACTCTTTCGGTAGTTGCTTTCTATTACAATACTCATGTCGTTCTCTCGGAGTATTTGACTCTTTCGAATCATGATCGATGTCGCCTGAACGAGAGGCACTAACAGGACTTTTAAAGTGTTTGTCGAACGTTGGATGAACATGAGGTAACGGGTTATGCTGAATTACAAGATTTTGAATCGGTACACTCTGTGAACCAGCACTAATATAGATGTAATCAAGTGCATTCAAGTCGAGCCGATCACGCTCAAATTTACACTCCAAACTAACATGCATGTAGATACCATTAGCACCTGCGTGCATTAGCGAAACCTGACCAGTTTTCTGCTTCATTCTAAGACAATACAGAATTGCGTCGTCATCGTTACAGCCCTTGTGAAAGACGTTGGATCCAAACTGAAATTTCTTCGCCTGAATAACAGTATCATGAAGTTCTGGTGGATAATCGCTAATGTATGAATACTGTTCATTATAGTTGTCAACATTTGTATCCTTAGGAATCGATGCAACGTAACATACAAGATACTTTATATTATCTTGAGTCTCAGAAGGTTGGATGGCTTCATTAGTGATTGTTAACATAAAATCACCTTTCAGGGTCTTGAAATAGATGTAGACGATGTCATCAGACGCTTTAGCGTTGCTAGCATCTTGAATATATTGTTTGTATGATTGAGAAATTGTCATTGGAATAGCTACTTGGTTTTTGAAATGGCTTGCCGAGAGCGTGATAGTGGTACCGTAATTGAGTAGTAAATCAGATGATATTGGACTCAGTTGGATTTGAGAAAGCATTTGTTTAAGACAATAGTTTTGATATTTGACTCTCGATGCATCAGGCTTTTGAAAGGGCATTACATCAACGTTAATATCGACATCATACTTCACGATTGTCAGAATACGATCGAATAGCTTCTTTGCGTTCTTCTGAGCCTTTTCCGATAAATTATTGAAGACATTTTGTGGTATATAAACATGTTCGATATAATGAAGAGGTATCAATTTCGGTAAATGAGCTTCGAACACTTGATGTGAATCAAGTTCGAGCCACCACTTTATGATATCTTCGAGATTTTCATTCATTGTATGGTTCTGTAGACCAGCACTGGCGAGCAATTCCAAAGCTGCAGCTCGTTCGTATCCAAAGTTCGAACAGTGAAGTTTGGATGCGTGGAACTGTGCAATTCGACCCGAGTCTGTTCCAGAGCCTGTTAGCCATGGATGAAAATTAGGTGCTTTGCCAGACTTGTAAATAGTGGCTGCCAACGGACTAAAATTTGCATCTGGATGTTGCATAAGTTCACGTTTGAAAACAATAATAATATCGCCGTAATAGGCTCCTGTATGTGGTCCTAAAATACCGAACACGTGCTGATCAGTGCCCAGATCTTTATCTGCCGCAAAGCCGATGCCAGTTTTCTTCGAGTTAAGTTGAATTGATGCTTGAGCAATTTCTATGGCACAAAATTTTATTTCGTTTACATGGTCGAAGGGTAGGATTTTTTTCAAAGCCTGTTCTTCTCGACGTGCAATGTACTCCAGATTATCATCATCTGTATTGACATGAGTTCCAACATCACCAGTATATACCTTGCCAAATTCAATCTTAACGAGTGCATCAATAAAAGCACACACTGTGTCTTGTGTAGCAGTGACTTCACCTTTGAGAATTTTTCGAATACGTTTATGTTGTGCAACAGTTTGAGCGACAAATTTGGAATTTTTCAAGTGGTCCATATGACCACGGCTCATAATATGACCGTGAACGAGAATGGATTGAAAGATAGGTGATGAACACCGATGCATAGGACGCAATGAGCGAACCCATTCTAGAATTATGGTAGGAATATTTACGCTTGGCCACTTTTTCTTGAGCTTTTGCTCGACATAAGTTCGAATATTGCCAATTGCTGCAATCTGATTCTGCACAAAGTTTCTATCTTTGTTAAAGTTCGCACATTGTGTTGCTCCAAACGAATCCAGTGTATGTACATGGCGAAATTTTGTCATATGCGTAGGTTTATTTCGTTCTCGACATTCACCAGCCACGTCTCGACAGCGATAACGAATATCACGAATACCTGTATGCGTGAACGCATTTAAATGTTCATCATTCACCAAATGAATACAATGGCTATCATCGGGACACATTTCCCGCGCAATGTGAATGCTCGTGCTCATATGTTTCTCACTGAAATCATTGCATTGCCGTCCCCAGGGGCAGACATGTGCGTAACTTAGACAATGATGTTCGATATCTTTAAACTTCTTCGAATCGTTATTTTCTCCTTGCTGTAAGTAATTGACGTGAAGTTCACAAGCGTAGGGTGTTAAAGGGCACGGATCCCTGAACGGATGGATCTCGTCATGAATGTGCTTTTGATCGTGAAAATTGATACAATTTCCTCCGAATCGACATACTTTTCGGCAGTGTCGCAACTTTCGAGTATGCACAGTGGATTTTCTTAATAATTCATCGCATTCGAGACCATGAGGACACAAGGGTACATGTCGATACTTATCTAAATGTGAGGGTGCCATATTCTGGCAAAGTCCTTCGCTAGGACAGAAATCCGGATGAGCGAAATCATATAAATGACGCTCATCTTCATTAACACATTGACCACCATCACGACAATGTTGACGATGAAGAAAACATGACATGTGTACGTCATCATTCATTTCATTACATTCTGGCCCAAACGGACACTTAGGTGGATGAAAAAAGTCACGAATATGTTGTTGATCGTTTAGTCTATTACAGTTAGCGGCATAGTCACACGGCGGCATTTTATTTATAATCAACTCGCTGATTAATGCTTTTCCACTGCTTTTCACTTCAGACATATGATACGGTCCAATGGTCATCCCCTTTATTTGAGTCGAAGGTGAAGACACAACCAATTTGTCAAGAATTTTTTGAAAAGGAGCTAAATTACCATTTGGATTGAGATGATTACCAGTATTGTGGTCATCAATTATAGAAAAGACTATCTCTTTAAAGTAGCCGGCATATTGAAGAATTACAGATTTGAAAATAAGCGCTATATGCTCGGGCCTAGAATAAATTGTAATAAAGAAAATAAAGACAATATGATCTTCTAGAAACTCACGGATTTTTGAATGCACCACAGCCTAATGCAGATAGTACCAGAGTGTCATATCCATTAATTAAAGCAATAGAAAAGAAATTTTCAATTTTCTTGCGCGTGCCAACGGCAAATTTTCTGGTGAGACGATTTTCCTTCGTGATGTCTGGATCACGATAGGCAGCTAAAGCAATGGCTGATACATTGTAAATTGGTTTCGATAGCAAACTATAGCCTTTTTCTTTTTCATTATCTCGAAAAAAGGTAATACCAGAAGTACAGATAGCTCCATACTCGTCCATTCGATACATAGATTGAGCATTGCGTATTTCCTTACGTTTTCCATGATCATCACAATAATACACTTTAGTATCATATTTTTGTTGAAGCTGAGGATCAAGTTCAGGATCAAGGCTTATACAATAATTTGAACGACGAAATAGATTTTCTTCTTGAGCACCGTCTCCTTTCCGATAACCACCTCCTGGTGTGAACGCATTTGCCATGTTCAGTAGGACGGGTTTCTTACCATCTGAAGCCAATTTATCATAAGTTATCAAGCAATCTTCATTAAGGACTCGTACAATTGTGGACTTGTAAGGAGTTTGTAAGGGCAATGATTTCTCAGAGGAAGAAGTGAGCTTAGACTCATGCTTGTAGACAGTAGTAATCATGGGTGATAGTGACGCCAATGTTATTTGCGTCCTCTCCTGATCAGTACTCTCGTACTTACGTTCACGAAGTATGGCCAAAGTATTACCCATGACAGTCACTCGTAGCATGCGTCGCACACCGTCACAATGTCGTCTTTCTCGACTGTCATCGGACTTAGAAGTTTTATCATATTTTAAAAATTCTTTCAACCATAACTCTGGATTCCACTTGAGTCGAAAGATGATATGTTTTGGATCGAACTGGCCGATGTCAACTTTGCGATCGATGTATTCCAACATCTGTCTTCCATACCAATTTTCAAATGTGAATTCACTTCCATCTAGATTATCCAATGCTCTGTACGATTGAAGAGATAAAGCCAAACGATTGCCTTTGTGCTTCACTTGTAACACTTTGGTAGCCAAGCATTGTTCGTATATTTTCTTGTCCGTAAGTTCAACGATGAGATTTTCGCCGACAAGCTGAGCACTTTCGGATTTGATTGAGTGTTTAAATATACGTTCTTTGATGATGATCTGCAAATCTAGATCGGCCGGCACTGGTCCAATAATTAGACGCACAGCAAGACTCGGTTGTTTGAAATAAAACTTATCATCTATACTAATACATTCCATATCTAACCACTTTCGTTGTGAATTAGAAGCAAGGATAACGGTAGTGGATGTTTCTTTATTAAATTCAATATAGAACAACAATCGTAATTCTTTCAGTTCAGTCGACGACTGGCTCATTTTACTCAAATACTCATCTGCTTTTTTTTTACATGTACGGTGTTCCATTCGGGCCTGTTTCGACATTTCTATTTGTGTCACAATACAGGTCAACAGATAGTCTGGCCCTTTATCAATTAGAGCCGGTGGCAAATTCTCCAAAAAAGAACAATCGCGTTGAGTATGAATATGTCCAATATGATGTTTGATACTAATGGTTTCATGTACAATCGCACTTTTCAATTCGTCAATTGAGTATAATGTGATTTTAAAGATGTGAGGATATTCACTCGACAGTATTTCAAATTGAGGTCGTCGATCAGACTGAAACAGTTGTGACCATCGGCCACTAATGGTTTCCAATGTAGGCACATCGTGTTGATTTTCAAACACAATATATGAAATGAATTCAATTTCGTCGGCAAAACTGATTTGAACCTTATTATCTGTAAAGAGATTAATTCTCTGAATATGAGTGACGAGACGTTTTTTATCATCTTCATTTGATAATTGAATAATGCCCACACCAATCGTAGAATCGTACCGAACGCTCAATGCATTTATGCAATTAGTGGTCTCTAAACGTGATTTGATTGTCTTTTCTAATGTAGAGTCGGAAATATCAACGAACAAGTCCGGTATATAAACGGTAGTCTTGCTGTATGGATCGATTAAAGGCTGGTCCTTAACGATCGAGTGTACTGATGATCGATTGTCAGTTTTGGATTCTATAATTACAAAGCATTATTCAGAATATGTTTATATAATACAAGACATGCAGAACCTTTTCGTGTAGAAGCTGTCTCTGGTTTTAGTTGTTGATCAGTTGCACTTTCGATGATTTTCGAAGTAGCCTTATGTTCAATATTGTCATCAGCTGAAGCTCCATGCTTAATTGCCGAGTCGTTTGTAAGCTTTGAATAAATAGTAGATTTTATCTCTGAAGACTCAGAACCATCATCTAGAAGTTCGAAATAGCATTTTAATGGATCAGTCAAAAAACTATGATTAATATGCGTGTCAGACATCAAGAGATTTGGTTCCTCCTTTAGTAAATTGAAAGAAAAAGGAAGCAACATGAATCAATGATTTAAACTATTTGATAGAGAACACTAGGAGACGTCAATCTATCACATACGAAATTACCCATGGACTCAATGCTTTAATAGTCTCTGATGATGGATTAGAACATATGGCAACTGTAGTTTTTCTTGCAGACTTATCAGTACAAAAAGAACTTTGATACCTGAAGTGGCAGTGATAATACAGGAAAACAGTTTACGAGGTTAACGAATACGATGTTTGTTGAAATATGCTAAGAGAAGTTTCCCATCTCTCTAGTTTGGAGACTATCGAAGACGGGAATTATACCGATTTTCCTAATGCATTCACAAGACTCAATCTAAGTGGATACTTTGAATCAAAGAGAATTCAAAGAATGTTACCTTATTATTATATTGTAACAGTATCATCTCAAATCGAGAAAGCTGACGATTGAATCTTGTCGGATTTTATCGAATTGAGTCAACGATTCAGTGAGCCGGGATTCGACGAGCATTTAACTGGGATAGTTTCCTATTGGATCTAGCGACGAAACTTCAGAGATACGACACGATCAAATCAGTTTTGAACGAACTTCTTTTTATTTATCTTCTTTCCTTTCAACTATGATTTGTTGATATATAGTAAATAATCAAATTTATGATGTCAATAGTAAAAATCTACCGTGTAATCTCATTAGTCGTTTATTAAGAAGCAAACACAAGATAAAATCATCCAGGTCAAAAGATAAGACGTAAGATATTGAAGACCAGACAAAATCGTACGAAAATCGTACAAAACATCGCAGTCTCAGAAGCCGTACATCAGATCGTACTATAAGATTCTTGAAAGATCTTACCGATACATAAGATTTCCTATAATTTTATAATAGTAACATCTTACAGGACAGCAAGATCTTTCAAAAATCTTACAGTACGATCTGATGTAATATTTCTGAGACTGCAACTTTTTGTATGATTTTCATCTGATCCCACAAGAGCATACACGATCAGAAGTATGATCTTGTAAGATCTTACCCTCCGATTATTTTACTTGAGCAGATATTTTTATGAGTATACTTCAAATTGGTTGATGCTCATCTGTCTTCAAAACCATTGTTCGGTTCTTTAAATCATTCTTTCACAAGTATTTATGCACGGAGTTTTTTTTATTTTTCCTCTGTATATTCTCAAAAAATTAGATTAGTTCCATATCGTTTAATATGTTAATCTGATAGGGATTGCGCTCAAGGTTTTTTCTTCACTATTCGTTTTTATAGGCTTTCTCTTTTTTGACATCTATCAATGGACGTTCAATTTCATGGTACTACAAATCTTATATTAGCTTTGTACACAGATAAAGTGTTTGTCAGAAAACGTCATTGTGAATCAAATGCAGATTTACTGCCCACTCTCAACAGATTTGCTTTTTCTCTCTTTTTTCTCTGCGAAACATAGTATAAATAATAGAAAATGCAAACAAATATGCAATGTGTTACAATGAAGAACAGTGATTTCAATTCATTACTAGGGTATAATTTGATATCGAAATGATTTAATAAAATATATTAAGACTATTCTTATGAATATTCCCGAAATAAGAATATTCTAATCCAAGTTCCTTCATAGAAATAGTCATTCATATTAATTAAAATGGTTTAATATTCAATAACAAACACTTCTATGATGAACTTTTTAACCAAAAACATCGAAGTATTCGAACAAAATCAGACCCTTCGACCACAAAACATTTATGTCAACTGATCGGTTTACCGACCAGTAAGTAATACTCGACCAGACTGGTCGTTTACCGGTATCGGTTGCAGTACTAGATGAAAGTTCATCCAGTTCTTGTCATAGTAAAAATTTCGAGATTACTCATTCTAGTTTAGTTGGATTTCAGTTGATATCAGGAGTTTTGTTCATCACTTGGCTAATCAGTCGTATTTTTCTCTTATTCTTATTAAGATGTCTGTCTCTGACTTCTCAATTGTCTTTTACTGCTGAATAATTTTGATAAATGATTACTCATCTCTTCATTGTATTCTCCTTTTCCCAGACAAGCTCGCAGTAAAACTAAGAGCCGATTTGCCGGTCACATGATTCGCATGGTTGGGACATTGATTAAATCTTGACAAATAAAGAAGAGCCTCAGCTTTACTTTTTTCTAGCAAACACGATATTAAAAAGAAGGAGAGCACAAATCGCTGGAAACAACATACCATCTGAATGTATTTTGACAGCGGCAGTGGTATTTCTGTCCTTGTCTATTTTATTAGCTTCCGATAAGTTCGGTGAATTTGGCATTTTGGTCACTTCTTTTTTGAAACTTGGCTTTGTGATATTAGTATTCACGACAGTGTGGGTTGCTTTAGGTCGACGTTCTTCAAAGCACATTGTACATCGCGGAATATCATACTGATTAATAAGAGTACATTTTTCACAGCTCCATCCTTTTGAGAGATCTTGCATAAATCCATCATCGGATATTCGACGTTGACGAGTATGATACTCATCATTTTTATATTCCGTTGATTGTCTAGTGCCGATAGAGCTTATATCTTCACTGTCTGAGTCACTTGAGAATTGAGTAGCCTGGCAACGGATGCAATTGTTCGACGTCTTTGAATTTTTCTTCCTACATTGGCGGCATCTCCATTTCTCATCAAGAGTTGCTGTTGCACTTGCACTCGATTCACGGTAATCATCGGCAGGAGTCTTGGTTGTTGAAGATTTTTTTGGTTGTGCACTCTTTACATTTCTGCCATTTAAATTGGCACCGCATTTACGGCAAAAGTTATCATGTAACGAGTTTTTGCATTCACATTTTGGACATTTCACATCGACGTCATCTGCCTAAAATAATAACATTAATCAAGAATCTTTATGATTGTTGAAATGATTTAAATAGAAAAAAATCTATCAAGCTAAATCCCATGTAAGAAAAACCGAACTGAAAAATCAACAGATACATGATTTCGATCGATTTCAGGCGTATTAATTGATGAAAATGAAACAATTGTGATATTTTTGATTGAATGATTATACTTGTTTTCTTTACTGGAATTGATTAAAATCGAT